TCAATGACTAACAATTTAGTTAAATAAAAAGCACTGGATAATGTTTCGAGTTGAAATATAAATAATGTTTTAAAAGATTCGATTTGATTGGTTGATTCTGCCGAATTAAATGTCAACAGGTTACAAGTTATAACCGATAATTTATTTATGTAATAAAATTATTATTTTCCATTAGTACAGATATAACTCCTTTTTCCCCGGATATTTTATTTAATACGAATAAATGCAAAAATACCTACCCATCTTCATATTATATGTTAATAAGTTGTATATAACTAATTTATCATGCTAGATTACTATTATTCTGAACTTCCATAACTAATTATGCAATGGTTTACTTACAAAAATATGGAAAGGAAAAAACTAAAAATAAAATTTTATGAGGTTTTTAGTTTAACTTTTTAAATTTTAATGTTTATAATTTTCCATGTTAAATCGTTGGAGGCTCTTATGCCGAGGCCCGTGTGAAATCACACCTTTATCTATATGTAGTTTCATCAATGAGTACGGGTAGCATAATTTTAAACATTTGGTAAGTAATATTGTTTTTAATACAAAATATATACTATATACCTAGTATATAATATATTATTATTTAAAGTGTGTAATCTTAAATTTGTTTACTCTACTCCGTCATTCCGATTAAATATTAAATACTGTACCAAAAGAAACTAATAATCAAGTATAAACAATTACACCTGACCATTATAAAATGCATATATTATAGTATTTATGTGTATTTTATAGTATTTTTTAGTATTTATATATTTGTTGTAAATAAAATTATTAATTGTTACTTATTATTAATTAAAGTATTTATATAATATTTTCTTATTATTCTAAAATATTTGAAATATTTAAATTTAGAAAATGTCGGCTTCTGGTAGTTGGTACGTTGTAAAATTTACAAATGAAAAATATGCTATAGAATCTATCCCAAAAAACTGGTTTGTAAATTTTAAAAAATGTTTATTGCCTCATAAACTGGGTTTAATCAAATTTCAAATCCGATTAAAATAATTTGCAATCGTGAATTTACCAACGAAGCATTTGCAAATATTCTACTTGTTCAAAAAAAACTATGATCTCGTGTTCAAAATGTCAAATTCATTCATGTATAAATGACATATGAAACTGTGTTTTGTTATTCCATACTCAATGATTTATTTTATATTATTATTACTTTTGATTATGTAATTTTAACCAAAGGATGTTCTCATTTAGAATGAAATTAAAAATACTAAAGAAAATTCTATTTGCATTTTATTATTAACTATAACTTAATTTATCATTATAATTTTTTACCAAAGGAGATTTTCTCGTTATTTAATATTTCATAATTATTCTATATTTATACCCATTATAGGGACATATAAACTACCAGAAAGTCGTATTATTACATTAACTTTTACAAACTTTTATGGACTGTGAAAAACAGCTGTAGTATTATTATGACACTTCAAATACCCGACGTAAGTCGTTAATACGAAAGTAAATAAGATTGAAAAAAAATGTCAGAACGTCATGCCATACTGATTTACTGAAAAACGTAAGTTGAGATATATATACAACTGTAATTTGGGCCGACCACTGATCTAGATAGTAAATTTACAATTTAACTTCATAAAAAAATTAACATAAATAACCGTTGAGTAGTAAATTATATGGTTGTAACGAACAATAACGTAAAAAAAAAAAGAAAATCTGTTGAGTATAATTAAAAACGATTTTGATATTATTTAAGTTTATCATGTTTTGAACGAAAAATATTTGTAAACAAGTGAACATCTATATCTATAGCAATGTGCCTTAATACTAATATTTATATTAATATTTTATTTGAATCGCTCTTAGATGGCCCAGATGGTGTAAATTAGACTAAAATCAAATTTATCGTCCTAAATGAATTTAACACTGCTTTCTGAATTTTAATATCAAGAAATATATGTATTTTATGTGTTGACGTAATTAAAATTCTTGTATCGAGTTAACTAACTAAAGTCAATTTTTTTTTTCGTACGAATTCAGTATTTATCCGTTTTCGTGATTCAAGACACTATCCGTGAAATATAAGCTTTACAATCGTTACCGTCGTCGGGCAGCCATACAGGTAAAAGTGAATATATGTATACAGTGCCGTACCTAGCATAATCAGCGCCCGGTGCTTAGAATCATTACTAGCGCCCTCACCACTTTTACCAAATAGTTTTCTACTTATAAAAAGTCTACCTAACATTATTGGAGAGCCGGGGACAGATTCGTCAGATTTACCATATTTTTCACATTAAACATTTTTATCAATGTACAATGTACTAACACTCCTAAAGATGATAATATGTAAACAGGGAGAGAGCCTTTAACATAATTAATATATTGAATTTTCAGTAATATTACTTAGATTATAAAAATGGGTTTGGCGCCCGGTGCACACGCACCTCTCGCACCTTCTAGGTACGGCTCTGTATATATATATATGTATGTATACATAGGCGTGAGCAGAACTGTATTTCGGTGGGTGCCTATTATAATTGTGGGCCCTATCTTAACGAAATGCGTCAAATGTATAGATTATAACGTATAAATAATTAAATAATCATAACTTAAATTTTTTATTTAATATTATAGTTTACAAGTCCCAACGAATATGTTTTCCTTGAAACTATTTTTGTAGTAAATTTAACTGTTGTACTATCGTAATAAGTTTTTGCTCGAACGTTTAGAAAATTTTATTTTATTTTATTTACTAGACGCCATTTAATTTTTACTAAATATTTTAGAATACATTTGAATTAATTCGAGGGACATCGGTTAAAATACGGAATTCTTTCCCTGAGACTTGCCGAATGTAGGGTCCATTTTACAACGTTTCATGGGGTGCTCGGGTACACTCGACACCCCCATGTGCACGCCTATGTATGTATACCTACTATAACGTGAAATATTATTTGGGACGATAAGATTATTATCGTTATTTATATTATTATTTATATTATCCATACCATTGTATATTATATATAAAAGGCACGGGCGTTGATAATTGAGTACCAAACCATACTATGCGAGAGAGGAGGCTTTTATGATTTCGTATCTTTTTATTTTTATTTCCCTCCCCCCCTAATTTTAGATTAATTTACTTACCTCTCAAGGTACATAAAAAATATATATAAAAAGTTCAACCTATACATTAAGAAATAATAAGAAAGATGGTTATACTATATTAAATGTATCATCTTCAGAAATATAAACTGATCCTATCCGATCATTTTCACTCAGAACCTTTTTTTTGAGAGCAATAGTAAAATTATTTCAAATTAAAAAATATACCAATTCAGTAGTATCAGTGACCCGGGGCTGTATGCCTCTCGACGATGGAGTCTAAACAAAGAGTGAGAAGTAATCGACTAATAATGTTCATTAAGAAAAAAAGAAAATATGGGTTAACATATATATTTATATATACTCGTATATCACAAGAAGAAAAAGCATAATTATGTGGCACCGACAGAGAAGAACCAAGTCCGCGGAGACGGCTTAAAGCACACAAGCTGCGGTCGTCGAATTGTCCGGCGTGCGCGACGGTACACTGTCGTCTCCAAAACTGATCGGGTATCCGGATCGACGATCTAACGTGACGGACTAACCAAGGAAAAAACGTGTAACAGTTGTGATCAGCATAAGCTTTCCGGTCGAAATCGGGATAGCGATAAAAAAAAAAATCACAAATAAAAACATAATCCAATGGAAAAATACTGGAGATACCCTCACAAGGGCGCTCATAGGAAAAATTCTCAAGGGGAAGGACAACATTTTAATTAATCAATCTATTCAAAAATAGGAATGACCCACGATATAGGAATGGGCTTACAATTTTACATTATACTATTACATTATATATATATCAAACTGGAAGACTATAAGATAATAATTATTTAACCAATTTACCATAAAAGTAATTTATTGAAATTTTTATTTAATTAATAATATAAATTGGACACTTAAAACATTAGTTATATTTATTAAAATATTGATTTACAAATATTATATAAATATTATGGTTGTGTACACACACACGCGCACACACATATACATACCGTATTTCTGGAAATGCACAATATTTTAAGAATTGATAATTATCATCCATAGAATAGAAACGAAAAAGCGTATTGTTATTTATAGCTGATAACCTGATTTTCCAAGCTAAATAAATAGATTTTTCATAAACAAATTATAGATTTTCATAAATTAAATTAAATTTTTAAATTCTATTTAAATAAATATTTTCCGATCATAGTAAACAATTTTCCAAGATTTTTGACATTTTCCAGCGGGGAGAAATGTCCCTCCCTTGCCCCCTCCCCGTATGGGCGCCCTTGTGCCCTCAAATGACAAAACGTGCGAACGTCACGACCGACGTATGGGTACGTATCACGGTTGCTGTACTCCGGTGTACGTCAATAAAGCGTATGCACAGAGGAACGACGCGACGTATCAACCAAGATCAAAATGATAAGTGACGATCGTTAATCGTACGCCGCCTCGATCTCGATGAACGTCAATTGGCTATTGTGTGTAGATTTACAATCGTGCATCCAACGTCGCCGGATCCCAATCGATCGCGAATAACGTTATTATTTGTTTCCCGTACATCGTACGCCGCTACGGACGTTCGGAACAAAAATGAAAACGAATTTACACGAAGAATGAGGTTCGAATCGTTTGTCCGCTCTATCAAAATATGCATTTCATTTTCGATGCGATCCGGTGGAAAAAGAAATTGGAACACGTTGGTTCGGACCGGCGGTCCACTACAACAGATTATTTTAAATTTTCAGTCCGGTACCGAAGATCACGGACCGTGCAGAGTACTATAGCGTCTAATCCGACGATCTAATATCGACGATTCGTTGCAACGTTATCGGATACGATAACTATGCAACGATTAATGTGTCTCGACAGCTGCACTGCACCGTACAAAGTATTATCAGCGGTCGGGCAATGTTCTTGGACCCGCTGATAAGACGAAAAAAATTAAAAAACCAACAGTTTTCTATTACTATTATTATTGTTGCACACGCTCGTGTTCCGTCTTCCGCGTTCGATACGCGTCTTTTTTTTTTTTTTTTGCCGTACGTACCTGCGTTGGCACAAGCGATCCTACACGCCGCCGACGTACACTGCAACTCTTTCGTAAGGCTGATCAGTTAATTGGAAAAGGTGAGTGCGAAGCTACGTTCCGAGCAGTGATCCGGCGCGACATTTTTATTTATTTTTTTGATAAAACCATTAATAATATTATACCTATTATCCGGGCCGGAGCACGTCGTAGATAGGCTGCCTGTCGGAGTCGTTTTTTTCGTACGCTGTTAAGACCTATGCGATATCCGTCCATTTGTTAAGCAACAAGGTATTGTACCCGTGACCTTATACAAATATTGCCATGTAATGGCTGAACATATTTTCACTCGTTCATTCTATTGGCTCTGTTTACTAACCTTGATTAAATGCCATTGGTTCGTTGATATTTGCCACGAAACCATCTCAACAATTCGATGAAGACGTTTTCAAAGTTTTAAAATAAGTTTCAGTTTCTTACACTGTGAACCATTATATTTGTAAACTATTCTGTACATTATGCGCTGACAGTATTCGATTTTTTTTTCTTTTAAATTATTTAAAATATAGTTTCAATAATCCTGTGACTTGGATGTAATTTGGAACTGTATTATTTTCATACACTAGTGTAACATTTTAAAAATAAATTTTTGTATTTAATCATGTACTATTTTTACAGACTTAAAATATGTCTCGATTCATGAAACATGTAATAAAAAACAAATTTCCTAAGACATTTATTCAATTAAAGGTACATGTTAATCATATAGCTGTAATTTTAAACACTAATATTATATTATTTTTGTAGAATATTCAAGCTAGGCAGTTGAACTTGTTAGAATGTCACAGCAAAGATTTATTAAGTCAACATGGAGTTACAGTTCAAAAGTTTAAAATCATTGAAAATGCTGATGAAACAAATAATTTACTAAAAACTTTTAGTATGTATTTATGTTAAAATAATTTGATCTAAGACTTCACAAGTTTTATGTATGTACACTATAAATTTACAAAATTGTTCTACTCTTATTTAGATGTCGATGAATATGTATTAAAAGCTCAAGTATTAGCTGGAGGTCGAGGAAAAGGTCATTTTAGTAATGGATTCAAAGGTGGTGTTCATGTCACAAAAGAGTAAGAAATACACTATTCATATATTTTAAAATTTCTTAACAGTTCAACATATATTTTTAAGTTAACCTTAAGCCTACCAAAAATTTTAAGTTGTTATTAATTCACTCCAAGTCAAGGTATAAAATATCTCACTGTACTGTTTGATAAGTGTATAAGGAAATGTTATATAACCAAAAGGGCTTTGTAATTGAATTGACTTGTCGCCAAATTACATAAATATTTTTCTTTCTAGTAAATTTAAATTTTTGTGACATTTTAATTATTTTTCTATTCAAATTTATTATTTCACCACTGCTATTTAGTTGGATATTAATTATTTCTCTTGTCTAATAACTTGTTATGTAATACTTAACATTTTTAAGGAATAATTATATACTATTATTTCAAAAAAAGTACAGTTATTGATATAAATTAAATTTATTCTGAAACATTCTCAGATTTCAAACACTATTCTTATTAAAAATAGCCTTCCAAAATAAAAAATTAGCGCTGAATTATTTATTTATTTTTTTTGCTTTTAATAACTTTAACAATGAATTTTATAATTTAATTTTGACCACTATTTTACTTATTATTTCAGGAGATCAAAGATTCATGATCTACTAAAGAATATGCTGGGCTTTAAATTAATCACTAAACAAACACCCAAAGATGGAATATTAGTGAACAAGGTTATGGTTGCAGAGTCTGTCAATATTAAAAGGGAAACTTATTTCTGTATTTTAATGGATAGGTGAGTAATAGTCTTGAATTAATTGATGTAAAACACAATTGGATTTCTTAAATGTCCACATATGTTATGTTCAATATGTATTTCATATTGTTAAGTATAAACATTTATATTTGCAGAAATGAAAATGGTCCAGTACTCATAGCATCTCCAGCTGGAGGAATGGACATAGAAGATGTTGCTGTTAATTCGCCTGAATTAATTAAAAAAATTCCGATTGATATTTATGAAGGTATCTCTGATGAAGTAGCTCTAGATGTAGCTAAATTTTTAAATTTTGATGGACCATTAGCTAATATGGCAAGTATTGCGCACACAATTATACTTACATTTTATAATATAAATATAAAAATTTATTTTTCTTACCTACTATTGATAGGCTGCCAATGAAATAAAAAGATTATGGGATTTCTTTTTGTCAGTTGATGCAGTTCAAATAGAAATTAATCCATTAGTTGAAACCACTGATAATAAAGTTGTGTGTGTTGATGCTAAAATTCAATTTGACGATAACAGTCAGTTTAGACACCAACAAGTATTTGAATTGGACGATACCAGTGAATCAGATCCCCGTGAAGTTATGGCCAATAAACATAACTTAAATTACATTGGTATGGATGGTAATATTGGATGCTTGGGTAAGATAATTAAATTAATTAACATTAAAACTTAAATTGATTATTATTTACACTATGTAAATAAAGTGAATGGTGCTGGTCTTGCGATGGCTACTATGGACATAATCAAATTACGTGGAGGTGAGCCAGCAAACTTTTTAGATGTTGGTGGAAATGTAAATGAAAATCAAGTTTATGAAGCTTTTAAACTGTTGACATTGGGTAAAATATTTATTTGTTCTACTTAAATTGATCTTATTAATTAAAAGTTAATTTTTAGATTCATCGGTGAAAGCAATTTTGGTTAATGTTTTTGGCGGCATTGTAAACTGTGCAACAATTTCTAAAGGCTTAATAAATGCTTCGAAGAAGTTGAATTTAAAAATACCCTTGGTCGTAAGGCTAGAAGGTTAGTTTTTGTTATTAAAGTTGTCTATAAAATGTCTTATTTAAATTATAAGTTATGTAAAATTTAGATCATTCAAATTACAGAAATATTGTACTTGGAATAGGTCATATTATGTTTTATTTTGAAATTTTTTTTTAGGCACAAATGTTTCTGCTGGTAAGAAGCTCTTGGAAGAATCTGGCTTGCTTATTCAATTTGCTTCAGATCTCGATGAAGCGGCTAGAAAAGTTATTTCATCAGTAGAAAAATAAGTCTTTAAAAACATACTTTTTTATAAAAATAAATTGTACACGAAATTTTTCAATTATTGGATTTTGTATTTGGTTATATAATATTATCTCAATACGTTGTAAGTTAACCTACATATATTATTTATCTTAAATTTTAATTCTTAAGATTGCTAATTATGTTTGTTAAAGATTTATTTTATATACCAATATTTTTTATTGTTAATAAATGATTTTTAAAACCATTTGTTTTATATTTTTAAAAGGTTTATTTAATGATTAAATTGACAGAATGTAAGTAATATGGAAAAAATACTATGTTTGAAGTATGTACTCAACGCTTGAAATAGAAAGATATTGCGAACCAAAATATGTACTTGATCAATTAAAACAAATTGAGATACTATCACTTCATTTTTCCCAAATCAAGAGAAATTAAAATTTAAATAAATTATAATAAGCATTCAACTTTTTGACATAAATCTAAAATGAAAGCACAAAAATTAATGAGTCAATACCAGTAAATAAAATGATCAGCATATAAAAATAAAAATTATACTTGGTTTGACGTAATTCGCACGTAATGAAATTCAGAAGTGAGTACTACACTTGTGTAAAGTACTAATAAACTTGTATTTTATATAATTTAATTTGCAATTAACTGTTAAAATTTAATTTTTGTCGTTATGTTATCTATTGATTAATGTAAAATAAATATATGACAAAAACTGACAACAAAAGAACAAATCACAAATAATTAAAGCTACCTATCCGAGAAAAATATACGTGACTCAAGGAAAACATATTCATCGGGACCAGTATACCACCATACAAAATAAAAATAAAGTTTTTTTTTTTTTTTATCCAACCATTTGTACATGATAAATTGTTAAATATACCTACGCGGTAGCCCGAAAATATTGTAGGCTCCACCTGAAATTAAGGTCCGCGCACGCCTATGATCGCTAGTACAATAATCATGCGCCTGTAAGAGCAATAATCTGTTGACGATCAATTCTTTCTTTTTATCCGCTGCGAATTCCAGCGGTCAGTTACAGATATTTGTGTTACACTGTTTGTGCGACGACGGCGCGTTGTTCAAATCCTATTCGGACCGTTTGCACGAGCCGCCGACCGACACGTTAAGGTCCGCACACACTGCAGCGGTAAAATTGTATCCCATGTATTGTGATTAGAGAACACACATTTTGCAGCGGTAAATCGGGTGCGGTAATAATATCGCGACGCGGTTTTTACAGAAACCGCTGCATGCTCGAATTTTACCGCTACCGCCCAGCGGTTTTTGATACTTCACTTGAAATTCGTCGTCAATTAAAATCAATGCCAGTATTTCAAATAGCATTTTATTACTTATTAGTTATTACTAGAGCTCCTTATTTCACGTGCATACGTTTTCACGTGTTTACGTGAAATAAAGGTTCAATTTTTATAACCCGTTGCTTAAAATTTCACGTGTATTTATAATTTTATTCACGTGAATCTGTGAATTGTTATATTTACGTGAATCCGTGAATTATTATATTCACGTGAATCTGTGAATTATTATATTTACGTGAATCCGTGAATTGGATAATTACGTGAATACATGATTTTATATAATCCCATACCCAACTTTTTCTTTTCACCATTTTGCGAGAAAACTTAATTTTTTTAATGAATACGATCACTTAATGATTGCACGCAAACTAAAAGCGTCGTACACTAAAGTGTTTAATATCATATTATATTCAAGATATCGATATAGTCACTACCTATCCAACTACCAGATAAAACACACACGCAACGGGCACTACGAGTTCAATAAGTTCAATAAAGATAAATAAGCGCGAAGTTAATCAGTAAAATTATAAATACATTTTCAAATAAAATACAACTAAATAAACAGTACCTAAAATCGGTTTTTGTAATGCAATATATGACCACCATGTAGGCATTATTAACAAAGTTAACAAAATCTTTTTGTTCTATAAATGACTATTTTCTTTTACAATCAAGTTTTCGATAAATGCCTGTTCACGTGAATATACTAATTCACGTTTTCTCGTGAATATGATTCCGATACGTGTTCACGTGATTAAGCTTTGGTTAATTCACGTGTATTAACCATACGTGATTTATTTTGTTTCATTCACGTGATCACGGTATACGTGGACACGTACATTCATATTCACGTACAAAAACGAGACCCCTAGTTATTACCGTATACAAGATAACGAAAAGCTATGTACCTATAGTTATGTGAAATTAACATTTAGCATTCATCTACATATTTTATTAATAATTATAATTGATAAATAATATAGTTATAATTATCTACCACTCTAAAATATCTAAACAAAACCATTTATTTATGTTATTGTAAATTATACAACATTGGAAAATCGCCGCAATACAATTTGTATTTACGATAGTTTAAATGGTTAATTAAAAATCCACCAGTCATCGCTACCACCGCAGTTTGTGCAAGCTGTAAAATCGCCACCGGTACCCAGTGCCGGATTAAGGGCCGATGCCGCCTTGGAGCAAATAATGTTTGCCCCTCCCCTCCCCCTCAAAGAAATAAGGTTTAAGTGAGATCGAAAAAAAAAATCCTGGTAAAATATAGGTACCTAATATAATAATCAATCTACTTAAACTAAAAAGTATAAATAAGTATATGTTAAATGACACAGAATAATTTTGCAAGGAATTTTTTTAAACTAATGGAAAATACTGACAAAATACAATTATAATATTAATAAATTGGTTCAAAATATATAGATAATAATTAAAGTAATTTTTAATATTAACGCCAATTTAAAAAAAAAAAACAAAACTATTACTATATAACTACGTATATATTATAAATTTTTTATTTTTTTTTAATTATATTTTTTTATGGATTTAATAGTTACAAGTTTTTATGCTAGTTCTTATCACTTCATTTCCTCAACCAAATCAGATTCTATGCATAAAATTGATAAATTGGACATTGTTTCTTGTATTAATGACGATTTTAAATAATTTTTTTGAAGCTATTTTATTTATGCTGCCCCACTAAATTTGCCGCCCTGGAGCAAATGCTTCTTTTGCACTTAGGTTAATCCGGCCCTGCCGGTACCGCTACCGCTAACGCTGCAGTGTGTGCGGGCTAGCGATATCGCCACCACCAACGGTAATCGCTACCGCTACCGCTGCAGTGTGCGCGAACCTTTAGAGCGCGTATTTGAGCGGTTGACGTACGGTACGATTACAGCACGTGCCGCGTTGACGTGCATGTCGTCGACGAGCGACAAACGTTTCGATTTCTGTTTGAAAAGCGAATGAAATCCAACGAAAACCTCAACGGTTCGGAGAGTCGACCGAGAACGGCGACGCGAGTGGATGCGAGACGAAAAGAAAAAAATAAATAAATTCGGTGTGGGCTGTACGAATCATATTGTTGATTGTTTTATTGCCGTAACAGTCAATGACCCCGCGACCGGGAAAATGATATTAATTTAATTATTTCGCCTGAAATCCAATTTAGGTGGAAAAAAGTACACTTTTAATTAAACACGTTGATATTAATATTGTTTTACAAAATCCCAACATTTATATCCTACATAACATAAATATAGTAGATACCTCAGATAATATTAAGTGTGTTAGGCCACCAGGCCTATTAGAAAATTAAGATTATTTTCATATCTGTTGTTATTATACCTTATCGATTATACTAATTCGAGTTCTGTCGTTCATTCCACTCGTATTAATTAGTTATATTTTATATTTTTACTTATTTTCGTATGGGAAATGGATTTCGAAAACCAAGATAAGTGTTCAATAACTATAATATATTTTTTTATGATGTTAGGTATAAAATATAGTTGGAAAAATAGTAAAAAAAAAAAAAAAAGGTAATACTTATATTTCAAATTGAATAATTAAAAAATAACCAAAAATAATCGTTAACTAATGTATAGATACTACAGTACATGTTTTACTTTATTCGATTTGAAAATTTGGTTTGTGTCCATTTGCGTCTATATTTTTAATTATTTATTTATTTATTTTTTTTTTGTAGCTAGTTCTAATAGAAATGTCGATAACTCAGATATTGACGAAAACTTGATTTTTAATAATTCTAATTTTCGTTATTATTCTTACGATGATTTATATACATTATTAAAAAATAGAGGTCCATTGAACCCTCACTCTATAAAATCAAGAAGATATCTACTTGAAATTTTGAAGGTTCGATACAAAACTGAACCATGGGAGCCACAATACACAAAATTAGTTGAACAAATCATTTTAAAGTTCTTATAAAGACTTTGGTCTAAAAGTTAACGAAATCATATAAGATTTAACCAGGCTAATAGTGAGTGGTTTAAGCCTAAACTAAAATTACCAATATTAGGACAAAAAAAAATTATAGAAAGACCCAAAATAAACTACGGAAAGATCAAAGCGGAATAAAATTAAAACATAAACAAAAAAATTGTAATAATATCATTTATTACGAAAAAGTTAATTTTTAAATTAAAAAATGTATACAATACCATTCAACGGGTGTAAACAAATATTTCTTTTTTTTTAAAAATTTTTTCCAGTATCTGGGACCTATTTTAATTTGATTATTGTGATAAAATAATTTTTCCACCTAGATTCGATTTCAGATCACTGTGCGTCCATGGGACTGTGTACGTTTCGGACCAGGTGCCCCGTGGGACAAAACGTAGTAACACGTGTACAACACGGCGTGCACGACTGATACGCGCTATCAACGGATCTTGTATTCAAAACTTTTATACTGTCTTCGGTCCCTTCGTCGACTTCCCGAGCCCTTCGGAAAAGTTTTCGAATTTTGGTTTTCCGATCACCGATTTTGCACGGTCGCGATGACTCGAGGCTCCTAGAAAAAATTTTATCAAAAACTCCTTGTTTGCATCCGCTGTGGAACGAGCAAACGGTCCGGGATGTCCGAACATTCGACAACGTTGGTGACGATCAACGAAGAGTTGGGCGACAACTTCGACAACTTGATCGACAGATGCACGGAATACCGACTGGTTCTTCTGAAGCAAAATCGTGACGTTACCGAGCAAGTGAGCGTACCGTGGCCACGGGGTTTTCGCGGAATGCGCGTAATAATGTGCGAAATACTGTTGTTTCCAGATCAAGTCCCGAGTGCTCGGAGGGAATTCGTGTATGGCCAAACTCCTGAGCCAAGTGCGCGACCAACGACAAGCAGTGGTTTCGCTGAGAACAGATGTAGAACTATTAAAATCGAAGTACGCAAAGTTTAAGCAAGAAACTGAGAATGTCAGGAGCGTGTTTCAAAAGTTAATAGAAGATTTGAAATTCAAATGCAACCGAATGATATACTTCTCTTGTCTTCAATGTGTGTCGTCTGAAAGGTACGGTTTTGGTTTTTCTTTAATACTGACCTACACAATGTAGAATGATTTTGATGGTTTTTATCGTACGATCCTTAGTAATAAAATAAGAACGAATTTGATGAGTAGACGTGATAATGAAGCTGTTATGTCGTATCAAGCTTTATGTGAATTAAGTCTTGTTATGAATACGATGCCTTGTAAACATTTAGTTTCCTTCATAAACAAAGTGATAAATTATTGGCACTGTATACTTGAACGATATTTTTCAGAGTAAGAAACAATTTTCAGATATTATTATAGTATATATAGTTCTTAAATCCTGTTTATTTTTTTTAGGGATTTTGAAATTATATTAAAACAAATTAATTGGCCATTTACAATGACTGAACCAAACGATAATGCTAAATTAGATAACTTAAAACAAAGCTTTCAACGTTTAGCCAGTTTTTTGATAAAGGTTCAACTTCCGTATCCTTTTGAAAATATAATTTTTATTATAATATCATGTAAAATGATAACATTTTCAATTGAATGTCCTTCACTCACTTTGCCAGTAAAAATGATTATATTGATATAAATGAACAATCACAAACATCATTGTTGATGGAACATTTTACTCATATAAGCATTCCAATCACCAAGTTAATAGTACCTTTTAGAAAGAGATTTTTTTTTCATTTTACTGGAAAAAAACAAACCAACAGACCAGATAAACCTGAATGGTTTTTATCTAGAATATTAAGTTGGATCAGAGACTATAGAGAATTTATGATGGATTGGTTGGGTCCAGTATATAAAGAAAATGACAAAAGACTAGCTGATTCTCAAGTAGTTAATCTTTTATTGGTTTATTTCGTTGCTTGTGGTTATTTTTTTTTGTTTCTATTTTTGATTCTACAGCATGAGTTTATAATAGGACTGTTGCAGTCTGTTGTAATTAAACTTGATACAGATTTATCACATTTTCAACTAGAAGATGTGGTTTTTTCTCATATTGTAGATGAAACGCTGGCATTTGAACATGAGCTAAGAAAAGTTTATAATTATCCCAATGATTATCCAAGTGTTACTGAAGTTTTAACTCAAGCACATATATTTTTTAAATGGATTAATATGGAGCGAAAATGTAAGAAATATTTATCAATTTAACTATTATCAAATGTATTTTTAATTTTTAATTTGACTATATTAGATGCTTATATAAAAATGGATGATATTCTACAGAATAAAGATCAGTGGAAGGTCTTAGTTGTTGATAGTCATTATTGTATGACAGCATGTGCAGATAGCTTTTTAACATTGTTAAACACCATGAGTGATCGATACAATATACTTCGCCAACCAAGACATAAGTAAGAATATTTATAAACTCATAGTAATGAGAAATAACGCACATAAAATACTTTTAATTTTTTAAAAGTATTTTAACTATTTATTATTTACTTATTTTTAAAGGCTTCAATTTTTAAAATTGCAAACTGATCTCTTGGAAGAATTTAAACAAAAAATTATTGGAGATGAAAATCAATCCTATGAATATTTAACAGAAATTTTATGTACACTACATTATATTTCATACATATTATATAATTGGGGAACTAATATGGTTTGTAAACTCATAATTTACATTTATTTTAAATAATATGGATATTTCTTATACTATGTTCTATTTTTATTTCTCCGGTTCGGTATTGTATCTCTTTACAATGTGTCGTTTCATTTGCTATTATAATTAATAAGGATCAAGGCCAAACATTTCAATATATAAGTATTGATATATGCTCCAATTTTTTCTTATATGGACAGAAAATCAGTTTATTAATTATGAGATGGTTTGAAAACAATAAATGTTAACATAATAAATATAACATTTAATTTTATTTAAAAAAATAATTAAAATAGAACAATATAATAATGAATGAAACTATGAATATTAAATATATAGTATATAAATATTTATTTCTGGAATTGGAGAAAAATGCTTTATGTATATAAAATTTGTTTGGTTTTTATTTTTATTTATTTATTTTAATTGTAGGTAATGTTATATTAAGTCTATATTATACTATGCTAAAAGAGTTGTAATTTTTTTTCTTTTTTTCTTAATTAATTGATTAGATTGTTAGTATTATATGATTATTTTAATATTTTATTATTATATTATTCAATATTATTTTATATTTTTTTACTAATATAATTTCCTTTCTCCAACACAAGCTTTCATGTTTAAAGGAGGGAGATTAATCGAAATTCTAATTCATAAAATCTCTATTTAGTTGAAATAGATTGAAAAAAAAAAAATAAAAAATATTAGTTTAATAATAGTAAATATTTATTAATTTAACTGTTTGTATTTATTTTTGGTTTTTCTTCTAGCACTTTTTGTCTTTATTGAACTATAAATGTGAATTAGAAATTGAAGTTAGAACAAGGAGTGAAAGTGAACGGACAGATGTATTGGAAACTGCAGAAACAGTATTTGATGATTCCATTAGATCATACAATTTGAGTATTGATAATTTATTAAATATTCAATGCGAAGATATCATGACTGAAGTTAAACGAAGTGCAAAACAATATAAACGTGATAAGTATGCATATCTTTGAAGTATCATTAGTTTCAATAAATTTGAAAATATAGATCATCTATGTAAAATAAAATTATTAAATATTAATCCCATGTACGATTAGATATTTAATTTGATCCAGTTTTAAAATATTCATAAATTAAATAATAAAATGCATTCCTGCTTCGCTCAGAAACAAATAAAATTAGGTATTTATTATAATTTTCAATCATTTTTGATTAAATAACTTAATTATTTTTTAAGTTACCCTCTAATTTTAAATAATATTTATGTACAAAGTTTGATTATAATAATTATTATCATGGGAAAGTAATTATTTTCTACAATATTTATTTGAAAACTAGTGTTTAAATTATACTTTGTAATTCATAGTTATGAATATACTTATTATTTACACTAAAATAACAAAATTATTATTTAATAACAATAAAATATAAATTTAAATAAATCCAGTAATGAGTGTTAAATATTATTTTTAGATGGCATATAATGAGTTCCATAACTGATGAAAGCAAGTACAGTATTACAGATAGCGGTTGGATTATGTATGAAACATTTACAAAAAATTTAAATACATTAAATAAAAGTATTCCGATTTCTTTGTTCAATAAATGTTGGCCAATATTAGCTTCCAAATTATCAACGGTTAGTAATAGTATTACATATATATACACATACATATAAATTAAAAAATTTGCGAGATATTACCTATAATATAATTAATTATTTCAGTTTATTTTTAACGATATTTTGTTGGCTAATATGTTCAACAAGGGCGGGGCACAACATCTTCTGTGTGATGTACGATATAAACTTCTTCCTATATTTTCAAAATATACTGCTAAACCTAGTATTTATATTGATCGGTAAGAAATATTTACACCAGACTTACTAATTAAATTGTTGTCTTATTTTTGCAAGTTTAATGTTTCACTATATAGTTACCATAAATTAAATTATAATTATCTGTAGGTTATTGGAAGCTTGCAGAGTTCTATGTTTTGAACCTAATTTTAAACCAGTTACATTAACTCAGAATGAAGTTTCAGAAATATTACTTCGACGAATTGAACATGGAAATTCATTTGAAATTGAGTGAATTTATGATGATTTGATATTTATTACATTATAAACAACTTTAAGGTATAGTTTATAAATAATTTGTATTGGTTTTAATAATAAAAAGGTTTATTTTATGTTTAAATTGAGTTATATTTAATTTGGTTAGTTAGAAGTAACATGGTCACAAATTTGGTATAATTTTTTACTTGTTTTTCCAAGATCAAGTGTTACTAAATGTTTTAATATTAAATGTATAGACATTTGTCAAGGAAAATACAGTTTAGGTAAATGTATTGTTTTTTTTCTATATCATAGTATCAAAGTCAGTTAACATTTATATTATAAATTACAAATTAGATAATTATTACTAAATCATCTTGCAACGTATTCCACACGATAAGTACTCATAACTTGGAGTATGTTTTTTTGCTGCGGAAAAACAAAAAAAAATTAATATATGGGGTGCGTTTAAAATTGATGGTCTACTCGAACTGCATTATTTATTTATCTCTCGAATGGCTAAAATAAAAAATGGAAAAACGTAATTGAGTATCATTATTGCTTAATATTTATTGCGTTGCAATAGTTTATCTACCGTGTTTTTATTTGCATTAGAAATTATTGTTTGTTTTTTCCTCGTCGAGTTAAAATATTTTTAAAACAGTGTACGTTAATACAGTTAACGTAGTTTGATAAACGAATAAAAATATACCGATTTAAAGTGTCGGTGGGTAAAAATAAAAATAAATAAAATGCCCTAAAAACAATTTCGGTTTATCGAGTACGGTATTTCATCTTCCGATAGTATAATTGTTAACGGCTCGACAATATTCCATCATCTAGCTGTATCGCACACGTCCAATGGCTCGCGCGCAACGTCTCGCTTGAACGTTAAAGTGCTTTTCGATGTACTTCGTAGATTATTCTCTTCAGTTTTCTATTTGATTTCAGTGACAAGTAGTCGTCCGAGGACCATCCGAGCGTCTGGTATGTAAGTATCGTTTCGCTGTTTAGCATACGATCCTCTGCTGCGCAGAGTTATTGCAGTTTTTAGTCGGATCCGAATCCATCAATATATTACAGTGCTATAGTACGCGTGTAAAAAAAATGTGTTTCGCCCCGTAAGTGGACCGGCTTCCGGTGTCCGCATTGTTTTTCCAATAATGCCCTAGTCATTACACCTTTCGTATAAATATTTATGCTCAATATGTTGAATTGGATTTATGAATAACGAGTGCTTTCAATATCACTACGTATTTATAGGCTGTATTATACTATGATTTATAGCATTATGAAGGCGGCTATAGCAGTTTACATTTGAAGTTTAACAATTTAACAATTGTAATCTAGATAGATAGGTATCTAGTAATATTATTTACTGTTAATTGAATAACATATAATATTATGTATTTTATACGTGTAATTTAAATATATTCTAATGTAGAAATTGATTAAAACAATTTAGTGAGTATTACCGAAGTAAAATTAAAAAAAAAAAAAACGTATGAAAACGTACCCACAGCAATTAATATAAGTTAATAAAATCAATTTTTTTTAAATAATAAGACCAGTGGCGTATTTTGGGGGGTGTCCTCCATGTCTGGACACCCCTCGACTTTAAAAAAAAATAAAGGCCTTATATTATATTGATTTTATCGTTTATTTTATAATGCTTTTATTTAATAATAAAATAAACGGCACTACGAAGTAAACAAAAAAAATATAACTAGGCCAATATTGTGACAATAAAATAGCTTAGCTATCCACAGAGAAGTTAATATTGATGTCAATAAAGTGATTGACGAACGTATTTTAAATAAGAGGCACTTAGATCTCTAGTAATAAATAAAAATAATAATAATATTGTAATTTATTGTAATTTTACAATATATTTTAATATCTTTGTATCTGTACAATATTATAAAAGGTAATTTTTAGAATAAATCTCAGTGATTAGTATCAAGTAATAACCTCCAACATGTCTATTATACCATGTAATGGTCTTAAATTACAAATTACTTGTTAATTTCTAGTTATTTAAAAAAAGTTAGTTCGATACTTCTTCACATCAGTAAATACGATCTATAAGGGACCTAAAGAATCAGATCGTTATATCCGAAACTCGTTGTATGCGGATGACGAAAACATTATCTTCGTGAGATATAAAATCGACCAAATATATAACTAGGAATCGTTTTAACAGGAATATCGCTGTGTACGGCATCGTAATAAGCGGAAATCTACTGTAGTTCTAAAATTTTCGTTTGTGAAGTTCATTAAATGTTGGACATCCCCCGAAAAATCACCCAAAATACGCCACTGAGTAAGACTAATACCTATGTTTTGTTATTTGTTAGTTTAAGTAAAAGGTATCATTATTAATTTTATGTGAATAAAAGTAACTTAAGTTTTTTTTCTAATTAACATGTAACTCTTAAAAGTTAATTAAAAGAGAAGAAACATTTATCTTTTCACTTAACTTATGTTTTTTTATATTAACTTGACGAGTTGAAAAAAATTAGTTAATTTGCCTAGACTTGTTTATTATTAGTATAGCTCGGTGATGTTGGTGCGTATTATCTCATGCCGGCAAGGCCGTATCTGGGGGTGAGGTTCAGGGTGTCTGGACCCCCCCGAAATTTTTTCAATATTTTACGAATTTTTAAAATACTTATTTATTTTTAATACCAACATAAATATTTTCAGTCAAAAATGACTTAAGCTCCAATTAATCATTGACTGCTTTTAATTTTATATCATAATATCATGTGAAAATATATTAATTTTAACAAAAGAAGATTAAATCATTTTCTGTCTTATTTTTAAACAAATATCAAAAGGTAAAAACTAAATTCAATAAAATTACAATATACATGTTTGGGACCCCTCCCGAAAAAAATTTCTACATACGGCCTTGCATGCCGGGTGTAGTAAAAGTGTTCTTTGTTCGATAATGAAATCGTAATTGAAAAACACATCCACGAACGACGATTGTTCCATATTTTCAGCGAAAACCATAGCCTTACATAGGTACCACGTATAATGGTGACCGGACATAATTGTAATTTGTTTTATATTTTTTTCGAGAAAATTGGTAATTGTCTTGACTCCTGAATAATATTAGTACAAGAACTCGTTTATAAAAACATAATTAGTCAGAGGAAAAGTATTATCATCCCGTTACCTAAATCGGTCATTATTTTTTTTATATTTTAATTCGTATCGATGTAAAAAAAAAATCATAAATAATACTGAAACTATACGATATTTTTTTAATCATATAATCTGTCAGTGTGTGGTTTAAAACTTATAAACTTATGAATGTATTATATGTTTCAAATTGTGGTTACTACGACGCTCAGGGCCCTATTTACGCAAAGATACTATGGGTATTTGTCCAGGGCCCAAGCTGATCAGGAGCCCACCTACTGGATTTAATTACTCTATTAATATTAATTAATCCTTAAAATTCTAGTTTAATTATTATATATACAAATGATAAAAATATAATAATTACTAAATTTGACCAAATTAAATTTATTAAAAATATACAAATATCTCGTACATTTCAAAACTAATTGTACTGGTGAAAGATCCTTTTCAGTTCCCAAAAGAATTAAAAATAAATTAATGTCATCTCTGGGCCAAGCAATTTTGGATACCCTAGGAATCTTATCTATTGAAAATAATACCAACGCAAGCATTAATTTCGATGAAGTAATTGATGCATTTGAAAAAAAAAGGCTAAACATTTTTTTTTTAATTCTAAAGATTTTGTATTATCTACATTCGATTACTTACTGTTTAATTTATTTTAAGATTTTTTTTTTTAACTACGAAGATTTTGTAAAAAAAAGTACCTATATTCTAATATAGTTTTATTTACTATTAAGTATTGACTGATTATTATATTTACTAATTATAATTTAAATTACAATTCATAAATATAGGTCAACTTTTTCTTTTTGTCCCGGGCCTAAACAATTTTAAATCAGGATCTGATGACGCACTTTATGTAGTACAAAAGGTAAAGTGTGTACATCAAAATGTGAACATGTGTACCTAATGAAATTTTAATCGTCTGAGGGACAAAAACAGTTGGTCACGCCAAAAAATATCGCAGAATATCGGACTAGAAAATTACATCATCTTTGTTCTTTATGGAAGTTACATTCGAACTGATTTCCAGACGGCTGAAGTAAAGGTGAAGAGACAGGCTAAAAACTTTTTTTTTTTTCGTAAAAATTTAGAATGCAGTACGAAAAATTGCGAATTTCAAGCCCCCGGATTAATGTGTAAGATGTTTAAAAAAACAAACAAACGTTTTTTTTTTATGTTCGTATTGCCGTGTTAGCTTTGATACGATTTCAATATGAACTTTTCAAACATCCGATATCAGTAGACGCGTACCACACCGAACTATTGCTGAAAATCGCGACGGATATCGCGTCCATGTCGTATTGCATTGCACATACATTGTGAACTGAAAAGAGTATAATATAATACTATGAGCGCGTAAAATTTTCAATTTCGCCCACGATCGCTTTCTGTTATACATATAAATTTATATATTGGACCCGGAGAGAAATTATTAATTTTATTTATTCGCGTTACCGCGGGCTAAGAATGCTGCGGCCCAAATAATTTTTCTCGTATTGTACGTAATAATTTTTATCCTCGCGCCCTGGTTAACCCGTAAACGATCCGCGTTCATTCGTACGTTTCGCGTTATATGCGATAATAACGAAGGAAGAGAGGACGACGACGACGACGAGAACACCGTTTAATATCTGTACAGGAAAAGGACGAGAGAGAGAGCGATGCAGCGTCGTACACAGTCACGTACTAGAATAATCCCTGGAATGCTCGTATAATCCGCTGTGCGTGCGTACGCGTGTAAAACGTACGCACACATAAAACCTGGGGCGGAATGCGAAAGATGAATATTTCATAACGTTGCGAGGGCGCGGTCCACCCGATCCCTCCGCGTTGCGTTGCCGTGCACACGACTCTCTCGCCGCTACGGCTTCCATCCCTTTGAAATGCTGGGAATCTAATAGACCGTGCCGCCAAAAGTCATTAAACGCCTTTAATAAAACGTTGTCGTCGTCGTCGTCATCCGCGCACCGATTGGGTGTACCTCTGTAACGCGCGCACGCACGTATTTTAAAACCCGTCGGTTTTGGCCGATCAGGTGTAAAAAGTCAATAAAAATAAATATACGTTAGAATATCCACGATCGAAGATATCGGGATCGAAAATCAATAGATGTGTCAACAGATGCCTGAACAGCTTGAACAGTTGACTTTTCGATGAAAATCCGTTCTATCGATGGCTGTCGTCATTGTAGATAATCGACAGTAGGCGAAAAATGACTGAAATATTCAAATAGAAAAATACGTCGAATCGAGAAAATTGGCACTGTTAAAATGAGAATAGACGATTAAATATGAATTTTTAAGTCTGTTTAATTTTTATGAAATGAGGACTAAGGTACATTCTTAGTGAAAATGTATGTAAACATATCTTCAACGGGGTGAGGGTTATAATCCCTCCCCCCTTCGTGCACGGTCCTGATTATGTATCGTCAAAAGTTACATTATAATAATTCACTAGTCGTACGAAGAAAAATCTTATGCCTATTACGAAATAAGGACACGATTAAAGCCTGTAATACTGATTAATCACATTTAATTCTTCACCGCGAAGTTCTCGAGACACTGTTCATACGCACGTATCATATTATAACTTCATATAGGGCTGCGTTGACTTGGTATGCAAGGTGCTCAAAAAATAATGATGACCGAACATGTAGGGCTTTTTTTTAAAAAAAAGAAGAGAGCTTTTATTAACTGTTCAGCTCGACAGTTAAAATATATATCTGAATATGTGATGCAAAATATTTCAAATAGTGATGAATGATATAAACAACATAAAGGATCAAAGTAACAGAATAATAATAAAGATATAAACAACAAAGATAAGGGAGACCTTTAAATAACAAAGCCAGCCTCCTTAAAATTAGCGCGGCTTTATAAATCAAATTTCGGAAAAAATTATTATATTAATTACTGGTATAATATTAATTTATTGTAAACATACAAAACATATTTTAAGCAATAACTAAAAATAGTTTTAATACAATTTTCAAAGTTAAACAAACTATGGACAGTGCTCAAACATGAAATTTGGTGGGTGAAAATATTTACCATCGAATACTATGTACATTTTTTTATACTTTTTATATTTAATGATAATTAATAATGAAATGTAGTTTTAGTACCTACAGTTTGGTGACCGGTGTTCTGAAGTATTCGTATATATTATTACCCAACTCATATATACGAGTACTTATCTTAACTGACTTCTTTTAACTGTTGATATCTACAGTTAATTGTAAACGTTGTTTTACTTTTCCTAGTTGGGTCACCATATATGCTCTGTACAAGATAAGTTAGTGAAAATCGGATAACATAATGGTGGCGGAAGTTGGTCCTTCGTCCCTTCGGTCCTCGGATTGGTTAATGGTAATGGGTGTATTGAGTTTTAAAGTAATGATAACTCATTTCTTTAGTAAAACGATTTTGATTAAAGCTTCAGAATATGATAATACTGTTTAAATATTTTTCTATTTTTAATTGTCTAATTGTTGGTTGGTTTTTCATCGACCTGTTTAAAATTTTCTTGTTTGACGAAAGAGACATTTTTTTTAACCAAATATTAAAAACATGTTGTTCTACCTCTATAAAAAGGTTCAATCTGATTGAATGGACCATTTTTTTTTTAATAAAAGTTTAAAGTTATGATATAATTATTTATTTAAACACTTATATAATAAAATTGTAACTGATGATTTTTCAATACCGTTAGGTAAGTATATAAGTTAGGTGTTATTAAATTTATATGTTTCAATATTCAAAAATAAAAATATAATTCCATAAAAACTTTCAAAAAATGAAGTATTTTCAAAGTTAAACAAAAATTGGTTAATACTTTTTTTTTTTAAGTTAAATATGTCAAATATGAAAAAAAGTGTCTTTGATATAAGGTAAAAGTTTCAAGTTTCTAGTTATTACTTTTGGAGTTATGACTTAATACTTAGAATATGAAAAGTGAAAGTCTCGTTTACAACGCAATTTTATCGTTTTTACTCAGTTTTTCGGCAGTTTTTAGAAAAATTATCTCTGTACCCCCACATGCCGATATCAAATCTAAAAATGTTTCCAGATAAAACTTTTAGACCAGTATTTCTATCTGAAAAAGGATCTACAAAAAAAATAAATAAAAAATAATCGAACATCATTGTAAAACCATTAAATCTTTCGCTTCACTCAGAACTTAAAAGTGTGTTAAATCATCAAGTTAATCAGTTTTGTGGTTTGATTAGGTCTATCTGTATCAAAGTATACTCTTAAAATATTAATAATAATTTGTTTTTAAAAAAATGTATTTACATATATATAAATACAGTTGATGGTCGAACATTTTTAAATAACCAGGGTTTCCTGTCATAATGACGCAGTTCACTGATAGATCCCACGACCATCTTCAATTTCAATAGTTTCATTGTCGTACAGTGGCGTTGGCTGTGGCTGTTGCATATTCGCGTAAACTATTTTTTTATAAAAATGTCATGGCGTTGCTGAGAATGTTCTTGTGGGAAAGAAGAATAAAAATATCATCGTTAATCGGTGAAAAATATACCAAAATGCATAGGTTTTTCAAACTCAAAAAATTACCATGGGAACTCGTGGTGTTTACTTTGGGGGGGGGGGGGGGGAGTTAGTTTGACGGAAAAAAATCTGTTAACCGTTAAGAAAAATAATTGGCATTAATGTTATTTGCACCTGATCTGAACTCTTCGCGCGCCTATGATCTGGCCGGACCCTCAGTTTCCGGGGAATACATTTTTCGGGGACCCCACTGGAGCACTTGCCATACTGCGGAAAGGAAACGAGACGTTGCCCGTTCTGCGCACGATTTTGATTCTGTTCGAAAAAAAATCAATGCGGGGCCCGCGCCCGAATTAGTGGTTAGGTGCCACCGCGGTATCTCAATGACTTAAAACGATACGTTACCGTCATAATATTGTAACAAACATTTTTTTTTCTTTTTACAGATGTATTTGCATAATATAAAAAGTATATTGTGTGGCAAGGGCGAGGAAGTAAGCTATTTCAGTCGTGGGTGACGTTTTCCGCGTTTCGCCCAAGACCGATAGGTAATGCAGGGACCTGTGCAACAACAGACTGTTATACGAAAATGGACGAAATGTTATTACCCGTGTAACGCTCAACGCGCTTGTGCACGAACAGTGAAAACAAATTATGTTTAAATGTTTATGCATCGTTTAGGCAATGAGATTACAGTATGATTACAAGATTTAACCAAAAGTTTACGTTTTGTAAGAACATTTCAGGTTTTTGGAAATCGCGGCCCAGCACTCTTTGGGATTTTCACTTCACCACTCGCTGGACGAAAAAATAATGCTTCAACCGCGGTCGAAAACCTAACACTCGGCGCAGGCGTGATCAAAAATATGTGTATCGTATGACATTGACATTTGATCGGTTTACTTCATAGTATTGAAAAGGATATATTTAACTCGTGGACCATTCGCATATATTAGTAAGTATATCGTACGTACAGTACCGTTAGAGTTCATAAGATTTTCTTAATACTAATTTTCCACTTTCTTTTTTTCAACTTTTTTTCGGCGCATTACGAGTATATTATACGGATTTGATCGTGCGTATGGAAATATTATGTTATAACGCCACACAGTGAGAATCGTCTAAAAAAATCCACGGGCGTGGCGGTAAAATCACCGTGTAACAGGAAATCGCCTAACGCTTTTAAACTATACATGCTGTGGAATTTTATGAATATTGCACAGTGTATATTATATTAATTCAACGATGTAGGCACCCACGGTTGTGTACGGATAGCCGATAAATGTTTTCGATACAGTATGCCAACGATGTACGTACCAGTATTACCTTCGTTTACCTATAATTGAGCGTAGCAAGTGTAGTGTGCGGTGTGGTAAAACGTGGGCTCCGAAAACCGGTGGCAAAATGCCGAAATTACAGGTCGAACTGTTTAAATATTACACATGTAGATGTGTGGGTCTGACGGTTTTCTTGCCACTACGTGGTAAACTGATTCGAGTGGTTTTTAATAATATTTTAATGCGTATCAATAATGTTTGTTTGCTACTCTTGAAATATTCTTATATCACGGCTCCATAATAATCATGTATGACTATACTCGATAATAACACGCAGCTCATTGTTTTAGATTTTGAGTGAAACGAGAAATGTATTAGTTCAACCATGATGTGTGTTTTCTTTTTTGGGTCTGCGTACACGATTTCGACCAAAAAATGTGCTCCGATCATTATCAAATAGAGTAAAAGATCGGAAATAGATATAAGTTTGCTCTTTCGGGGATTCATTTTTCGAATTTCTCAACAGTTTTCTTAATAATTGCGAAAAACTGACAAAAAGTTATAAATATACGGTAAAATTTACGGTGTACCGATTTTTAAAAAATTGAATTTTTATTTTTTTCGTAACTCAAAAAATAATAACCGTACAGATATGAAATTTTCACTGAATAACACTATTTTTATGGATGACATAAATATCAATTGATATTATTTATTTATTTTTTTTTTTTGAGCTTTTTATAGAATAAAATCATTTTGGGTTGACAATAAATCATGAAAATATTATACTAAGTTGCTCATTATATATTTATTACTGGGTAAAGAAAAATAATTAAGCATATTAAAAAAAAAATAATGACGAGCGTTTAAATATCAAATTTTAACAAACTGATAAAATTACGTAAATCCACTACATTTTTGTAGTAAAAAATTCATAGTATTTTAAATTTTCTTACTAAAAGTTTGTAAATTGTATACAAGATTGTTTATATAATTTTATTTGTAACGAAAAAAAAAAAAATGATTTGAAACTATCTAAAATGGTTTACAAGTGTTACAAAATAAATGTTTACAAAATTAGATATTTAAACCAATTTCCGTTAAAAAATATTAGTTATTTAGTTAAGAAATGCCATTGTTTCGAAATACTTTTAGGTACCTATGTGCTGTTTATAGAAACTTGAAGTTTTCGATTTTCCCAAATTTTAAGTACATTTTCGCCAAAGTTTGAACATTAAAAGTTCATGAGAAAATTCAAAGAAATTTGATTCTACTAGTTAATAGACCATCTTTAAAAGTATAAATTGATCCACTCGACTTCTTTCACTCAGAATCGTTTTTTCGAGAGCGATGGTACATTGATTTCAAGTTTAAAAGACCAATACAGCAATACCATTCACTCACACCTGTATCTTACCCTGCTTCGTGAATCTCGTCTTTTGTATTAATTATTTTCCAGAAGAAAAACTTTCAAAACGAAAAAAATAGTATAGCAAAATTAAATGCGGCCCTTAACAATACGATCAACAGTTAACTTCATAGGATCCGGACATTAAAAGAAATATTATCAGACAAAACATAATGTTCTATTGTAGAAGATTATAAGAAGTGCAGACTTATCGTTTCTATCATATTACAAATCATTTTAAGCGCGAAGAATAGTGAATTCACTCAAACATTTTTTGCCGTAAAATTTTTTTTTCAAGAAAAGTCCTCGGGTCCTGAACTTAATCGGGCATTAAAAATGGCAGTAAAACGCCACTCAAATAGACACACACACACGGAGAACATTGTACATTATAGAATGTGGTCTGTTTGTAGCACGATAACGTTTATATGCGCAGTGACTCCAATAACTATTACACAATAACTATAACACTGTTCGACCTGTCGAAACGCGGAACAATTTGTCTTACGTGAACAGACTCAATATGCATCATAGGTCATTATGCACAAGCCATTCGCGTAATGTAATTCATTTTTACAATCGTTTATAATTTTTTAACAAAACGCCCCTCCCCTTCCGGAGAAGTAGACAATGGGATACACACATTTCATAACCTGTTTAAATCACACGATTCTCTATTACAACAGAAAATTTTTAAAAAATTTTCAATCATAATAGACCATGGAATATTTTTTTAAATTATTATTCCTGTTTGTAGCCCGGTACACATAAAAAAAAAAATCATTTCGTTTGGTTTACATACAAATAGTTACATAAATAGTGAGAAATATTTCAATTAGATGTAATCGAAATACATTTGCAGAATTTAAGGCATTTCTAAAATATACCTAAACGTAATGTAATCACTTGCTCGCATGTAAATGAAAATAAATTTCAGATAAAATAAGGTAGGTACATGTAAATCTCAACCGAAAAAAAATTTATAATTAATAAGTACATATTTACTAACATAATTAATAAATATTTTATATATTAAATATATTATTTATTTTTTTTCAGTATCTCTAAAATGAGCCACATTTTTTACAAAATCATCAATGGATATTTTATTATTTTTGTATTTTTTTATTTTTATTTTGAATTTCTATACTTATATAATTTATTTTTATGTTATTTTCAAATTGAAATCACTAAAATGTATTTGAAAATATAAAAATATGATGATGAATAGAGTTAATTTTTTTATTAAAATGGGAATGAAATTACTTACAAGCATTAGTCGTTCTGTTCAAAACTGCTGTAGCAGCAATCTATATATTTAGAGGAAAATTGCGTCATTACTAATATAATTATTTGATAAATAATCTGAAAATTGTGTTAATCTATGGTCTTTTAGCTCAGAATTTATTTAAAAAAAACTTCAAAATAATCTAAAATCATCTCGGACAAGCAGAATTTTCAAATTTATTTTTGTATCTTAATTTTTTTCTGGGCGTAATTTACCGTAAACATTATTTTTACCTGTTTAATTCTGGTGGAATTTATAATCGACCGATCACTTATATAAAAGTTAGAAATTATATAACGTGTTCTTTGTGAATATTTATTCGTCCTTACTCTATATACTTAAATATATTAATAAATACTATTATATCCGAGATGGCTAGCGATAAGAGAGTTACGATCTCGAGCCACGCAATATAATGAAAAATATGTGAGAGCGAGAAGAAAAAGGTTCTCAAATATCGTTAGTAAAATATAAGAAATCAAATGAAATGTGTGGAATGCAAAAAAAATGTAATAATGCACAACAATTAATTACATTTTATAGAGGATAATTTTTCATTCGCATAGTGCCTGTACGTGGATACGCCTATGCAGTGCCATCCGACGTTCCGAGTGAACCATCTTCATAATAATTGTAATAAAAACATATTGAAAAGAAAAAGACAAATAATTTCCACAACTTTCGGATACCCAACGATGTGAAATACTCAGCAACTCGTAAATAAACTCATAAATAATCTAACGCAAAATATTTTTAGTTTAAAATATAAGATTAAACTTTTCCAAAAGAATTAAGAACAAACAATCTAGACCATTCTCCGCAGTTAAAAAAAAAAAAAAAATTGGCTATTGTTTGATCGGAATAGAGATGAAAATTGATCGTGAAGATTATGCAAGTGTACCTAGTCAGTGCCATCATAACAAATCTAGGGTAACGCCCTAGGGTAACAAAATCGCCCTCCACTCCTCCATTTTTTAGAGTATAATTTTCCTAATTTATTTTTAATATTTAATTATTAAGGTACCTATATATTTATTTCTATTATTATTATTATCATAGCCATATTTATTTTGTTTTTATGTTATTTAAAAATTGACATTTTATTGTCTAGGCTAAATAATATGTTACATTAAATAAAGAAATTTTTCCATGATTTAAGTTAAGCAAACTTTTCAACAATATTAACAAATTAAATTCTGCGTTTCTGATTAGGTATTGTGTATATACAATTGTCATAATAAGTAATTACTTAGGCAATTGTATACCTTAAGGTTTGTTTATTGAATTATTCAAATGCAGTCGAATTGATTTGTTATTAGAAATGAGTAAAATTTATTATGAATTTATTTTAACACATATATATTATATATTTATATATTTGGGTAATACTGCAATAATTTTCATTAACAATGAATATTATTAAGGGTTCGAATTTTATAGCATTTGCTTATTGTTATAGGGTATTGATAAAAATAGCAAAGGAAGACATAAATTTGTTTTAAACAACAGGAACTCCAAAATTGACATTTTTGTATATTTAAAGTATTTTAAATTTTTAGTATCATTTTTGAAGTTTTGATGCCTAAATTTGCCAATACATATAATAATATAATGTTTTATTTAGAATATATCATAAATATTATTTATATAAAAATGCCCACATTTTTTTTTGTCTCAATTTTTTTAAATTTTTAACAGGACATTTAATTTTTTTTATTAATGTATTTGTTCATAAGGTTATATTGTAAATAATAATTCAAAAAAAAAAAAAAATTAACTGTCAGTAAAATATATTAATTTAATTTAATTTCGATTTAAATTTTTTTTTCATTTTTCTTTTTTTTTTTTTTAATATTTTTAGGATAGGGCATATTTTAAGGTGTTTTCAATTATATGAAATTCGAATTCTGTTAATTATGATTCACAGGTAATAAAAAATGGACTATGGTATTTGATACCTACTTCAACGATCATTTTTAATTTATCAATAATATTGTATCCTACAATAATATTTATCATGTAGGCATGTAACAAATTATTTACACAATTTCATATTTAATAATATATATTGTACAATTTGATAGGTACTCATCTGAGATATTTCAGTAAAAAAAAAAAAAAAAAGAATGCTTACCTATCTAAAATAAAAAAACACCTAGTATTTCTTATTATCATTCATTTTCATGACGCCCCTTAAATCCATAATACTTTGTACATTCTAAGGCACTCGCCCCATTCACCCCTACCCCCGTAGGATTGCTATCAGTGTGGTTTACGGTACGAACTATGAACTCGTTTAATAAACATTATATATAGAAATTGGGAATACACGGGAGAGTCTATGAAATCCAAGGCTGTTGCGTTGGACCGTCTCCAAGCCGAAAATAATTGTTTTTCTGCGTTCTCGCGCCGCCCACCGAGAACACGATTGAATCGATTATCCGAAAAACTGCGGCGTTGCGTTGTACTACACAAAACCATCGTCGTCTCCTTTTGTCGATAATAGACGGCGTCGAAATCCTTTTGGGAACGCTCACAGGATCACACAAAGTAACGTTTGTGCGTCGCGTATTGTCACGAATCGAACAATGGAAACGCGAAAACCGTATAATTTGCGGAAACAACTCGTATGCGGGTGTAACAACGGAGTGCAGTAATGGGACGCGGTAATTGGACGCGTGTTGTGCGCGCGACAACTTTTCGCGCACACTTCGGCCACGGATTTTTTTTTTTTTATATTTTCGCGTGACAACGTTCGATTGCCGTACCGTTCATACCTGTTCAAAGGCGACTCTGAGAGCGTTCGTTACACGTTTTGCTAGTTAGCTATTCGAGATGATATTTTCAGGGGACGGCAAAATATATTTAATTTCGATGTATAGACGGCTGAAACGTTCACCGTTCGGAAAACATAAAATATTTTAATCGATATGAAACCCGAACGACCGTGTCGTCCACGAAGTGTATGAAATGTGATAAAAAAA